ATATATTGTTTTTTACAAAAAAGAACTCAAGAGATTAGACCCAGAGAAAGACTGTGTTTATGAACTGGATGACAGGTCATTAGAAAGTTAAAGAACACAGAAAAAAGAATGAAAAACATAGAAATGAGAGTCAGAGAAATCTAGGACACCGTGAAATGGTCCAATATGCATGTAATTGGATCATAAGAAGAGAAGGGATGGAATGGGGGGAAGCAATACTTAGAAAGATAATGGCCATTTATTGTCTAAAACTGCTGAAGCCTCTCAATCCATCTTCAAGAAGCTGTGCAAACACAAAGGAAGATAAATACCAAGAAAACTACAACAAGCCAGATCATAATAAGACTGCTGATACCAAAGATGAAGAGAAATATCTTAAAAGCAGACAGAGAAAAAAAGACATACAACCTTTAAAGCAGGGTGGGGAACCTTCTTTTCTGCCAAGGGCCGTTTGGATACTTATAACATCATTTACAGGCCATACAAAATTATCAGCTTAAAAATTAGCCTGCTATATTTGGTCAAACATTTAATTAACTCACCTCTAATGCCTTGGCAGGGCCAGACCAAATGATTTCGTGGGCCTTTTATGGAAAAAGAAACAAAGTCAGATTGACAATCGGTTTCTCAACAGAAATGAAGGAAGCCAAAGACGAGGTTCTAAGGTCTCGACATTATCGAGAAAGTAGAAAAGTGATACTTTCTATTAGATTGTCAAGGATACCTGTTTCAATTGCTAGATTAATTATTTTAAAAAACTAAAACAAAAAAATAATGTATACCTAACAAGTTATTAGCAAGACAAATAAATTTCAAATATTTTTATTAACCCAATAGAAGGCAATTAAGGAGGAAAAACAGAGCAAAGGAAAGTTAGCTCAAATGAAAACTGATATTTAAGAGTGTAGCTAAAAGCCCAACCCAATTAGTATGGACTAAATACTCCAAGTAAAACAATACAATTGTCAGGACAGATTTTTTTAAAATTATATTCTGTTGACATGAGATACCTTTAAATAAAAAGACACAGAGGAATTAAAAAATAAAAAATTTTGGTTTGCTTGTTCTATCAGGTACTGAGAAGGAAAAATACATATCATACACATTCCTTTAAAGTGTACATAGAACATTTACTAAAATTAGCCATAGGCTGGTCATAAAGCAAACTCTAACAAATTTCCATTTAAAATTAAAATCTTAAGACATATGTTCTCTGACCATAGTAGAATTAAGCTATACATCAATACAAAACAAATAAACAAAAACCCACAAAATCCCTCAATTGTTTGACCATTAAGCAATACAATTCTAAATAACCCTTGGGTCAAAGAAAAAAAACCTCACAGGATATTAGAAAATATTGAACTGAATAATGAAGATCCAACATGTCAACACAGTGAAATGCCGCTAAAGCCAGAAATAGACACTTTAAAAGCATGGTGAGGGGACGAGAGGTCTCCATCACATTATTCACAGGTCCATCCAGACCCCAGCTTCCCTCAGGGAGCCTCAGGACTGGAAGGTTCACCTTGAGAAGGACCAGGTGGGTGTGACCCAGCAGCCCAAACTGCCAGGCCAGTGCTATCATCTGGTTCACCCCTTACCCGGGTGTCAGCAGCACTGGGGAGCTGGAGATGTTCAGGAGGGCATTGGGTGCGTGCATTTGAAGGGGGGTGGAAAAATGGATCAGTCCCTGTGAGCACTGACTCTTTTTTTTTAAATATATTTTATTGATTTTTTTTTACAGAGAGGAAGGAAGAAGGATAGAGAGTTAGAAACAGCAATGAGAGAGAAACATCGATCAGCTGCCTCCTGCACACTCCCCACTGGGGATGTGCCCGCAACCAAGGTACACGCCCTTGACCGGAATCGAACCCGGGACCCTTCAGTCCACAGGCTGACACTCTATCCACTGAGCCAAACCGGTTACAGCAGCACTGACTCTTTAAGTCACAGGAACGGATGAAATTGACAGAAAGGATGAGAAAGAGGAAAAGAGGTGGAGAAGGAGCAGTGGGGGACAAGCCTCAGGAATCTAACTTTGGACAAGTCCTCTTGACTTGCACCTTCATATTTAACCTAAGAAGAATTATTTTTAAAGTAATTACCAAATGGTTCAGATAAGTAAATGAATTAAAAGACCTTGTTTTGGTGGACACACACTGGTAAATGTGAAGACAAAAATCAGTTTGCTCATTATAATTAATATCTCTCAACGGAGGGGAAACAGGTGAATGAGAGACTTCCACTTCTGGCAAACGATGGACGAGACCCCCACGCCATTAGAAATCACCTGGAAACTCGGGGTGGATAATGCACATAAGAATAAAATAAGGAAACTTCTCAGGAAAAGGAAAAAAAAGGAAGGAGGAGCCGAAATTAAAGCTGCAAGCCCATCTGGAAGGAAGTGCAGGAATTTGCTGACACCAGAAATGCAGACAATCGAGTTTCACCTGCTGGGTGGGGAATGGGCGAAACACATGCAAGTTGGGTTTGGAACCAAATCACCACAGAAAGTTGCATCCTCCAAAGCTACAATGAGAGGTTTGGGGGGAAAGCCACCTTCCATCAAAGGGACACAGGAGAATTCACCTCAATGACTCAGCTCCAGGTGGAGGAAAAGCCAGTGTTCTTTGAGAATTTGAGGCCACCAACCTGTTGTTGTGCGAGTTCGGGTTTCATTTTGACAATGGTCTCAGGTGTTTGCACCCAAAGCACCTTGCAAAGCAAATACAAATCCTCCTTGGAAATATTGGAAGTAGCTTCCTCCCACACAGGTCCCCAATACTCCCACAGATGATTAGTCAAATGTGAGCTCACAATCAAATGTTACCAAACACCAAAGGAGCAGTGCACCACCAGCAAGAGCCAAGGGGGAAAGAAGGAAAAGAAAGAAAGTCAGAATGAGATCCTCAAGGACTCCAGATACTGGAATTGGTGATAAAATGAGTATGCTTGAAATGTTCACAGAAATGAGCAGGAATGGGAAGTAATGGGGTTAAATATGGGGGAAGGGGGTAACCATGCATAACCTTTAGAAATAAAAATGTAATCATTTAATTTTAAAACTTAGCAGACATGTTAATCAGTAAATTAAATGGAACTGAACAGAGAATTAATGAACTGGAATATATGTCAGAAAAAATTACCTAGAATTCTGGACCCAGAGAGACAAAATGATGAGAACATAAAACTAAGGTTAAGACTCATGCCACATGAAAGAATTCACTAATTTAACACAGCAGGAACTTAAACACACTCTCAGTAACTGACAGATCAGCCATACAGCTAAGGGTGTGGAAGATTTGAACAACATAATAATCATGAACCAGTATGTGCTCTCTTGTCCTCAAAAATTAGAGAAACATTCTTTTCTAACATGTATGGACCATTTACAATATTTTACCATGTAGTAAGCCATAAAGCACCTCCTACTAAGTTTCAATGACTGGATCAAATGTATCATGTACTTGAACACAATTCAATTAAAAATCAATAAAAAATCAGTAAAAACCCAAATTTTAGAAATTTAAAATAAACATCTAATACACAACAGGAGAAATCATTCTGGAGCTATAAGTAAGCTTAGTGGTAGATGATAATAAGAATACGACTGGCCACACCTCTGGCAGCCACTGCAAACGATTAACAAACTGGACAAACATACGAAAACAACGGTTTCCAGACACTGTACAACAGGCAGATTAGGACTGTGATCACTGAGAGAAGGGAACCATATGAAGTGAGCCCTACAGTCCCTCAAACCTCACAGTGGCTTTACGAGTTGGGGAGATGGAGGTCAGAGTTCGGGCAGTGTGCAGAGCGGCTACAGCGTTTGGACAGGTTCAAGCCTGGGACTAATGAGAGGGCACGATCCTCTCATGGCAAAGCCACGTGCAAGTCCCAGCACAATTATAGCCAAAGGCTATAGTTGTAAGCTTGACCTTATGGTCCAAACCTGTGGTCTCTCCTGGCTGAGTGATATGGGCTGCGGGAGATGCATCAAGGAAACAAAGCTTGATCAGGTGCATGTAATTGAGTAGATTCGAAACCCAGGAACGTTGTAACCACACCCTTACTTTGCCTGGTGGAATGTGGCTATAAAATAAAGACTCAGCTTGCAGGCCGTGACGCTGTCTCTCCATCAGAGAAGCAATGTCCCACCTAGACCCAGCTTTATTCTCTTGTCTGTCTTTTCTAAATCCTTCACCGCCCTCTCTCAGGTTCACCCATGGCCGTGCCGGCTCGGCACAGGGCAGGTCGAGGCAGCTGGAGTTGTGGAAAGGGTTGCTCAGTGCTGGAGCTCCAGAAATGGGCACATGGGTCTGTAGAGTAATAATCCATGCCCATGTGGTCCAGGCAAAGAAGAATACATAACCCCAGAGCTCACACACAGTGTAAGACATTGAGCTTCTACCAACCAGAATAGAGAGTTTTCTTGATCCCTCCACCCCAGACATTCAGTCGACAACCCAAAGAACTCATCCTTTGGGGTTAACCACCCCTGGAGTGATGTCTACTCTAGAGTAACCCTAGAAAAGCTTAAAATCAGGTTTGAAAGTATCAGATTAGTCCCCAAGCAATTTATCTGCTTGACAAAACAAAGCCAACATATTTTATAGGAAGAAAGCATAATTCAGATGTTCCCTAACAGTGGTTTTCAACCTTCTGGCCCTTTAAATACAGTTCCTCATGTTGTGACCCCAACCATAAAATTACTTTCGTTGCTACTTCATAACTGTAATTTTGCTACTGTTATGAATTGTAATGTAAATATCTGATATACAGGATGGTCTTAGGCGACCCCTGTGAAAGGGTCATTCGACCGCCAAAGGGGTCGTGACCCACAGGTTGAGAACCGCTGTTCCATAATATAGAAATGTCTAGAATCAGGTGACCTATAACTAGGAGAAAAAATGAGTCAGTAGGAACCTGCATTTTCCTACAACCATTAAAGAAATTGATTCAACAGTTTAAAAATATATCCATCAAGTAAAACAGCAGACTCAGACATTTTTTATAGGAAAGTTCTACCATACATTAAAAAACAAACAAACAGGTAATCTTACGCAAACTCTTTAAGAGAACAAGAAAAAGAAGGAGACAGAGGGAGAAAGATTATATCCCCAACTCATTGACTGAAGCTAATATGACCTTGGTAGCAAATTAGACAAAGAAAAGTTGAGAAGTGACCAATTTCACTGATGAACACAGATACACAGATAAAAAAGTCCAAAATATTAGCAGGAAAGTCAGGTAGGGAAAAAAAAGGATAATGCAGCAGGCTTATTCCAAGAGTATCACTATGGTAACATAACATATGGCTGAGTGTTAGTATAGCTATTTAATGTAATTCACCACATATCACATTAAGGGGGAAAATTCAAATGAGGTTCCCAATAGGTACTGAAGAAGCACTCAATTTTCCCAACTCATTTATGATAAAACTCTGAGCAACATGAGAATAAAATAAAACTTCTTTCATCTTATAAGAGGCATTTATAATGTTAGGAACATTTCCTTTAAATTCAAGTTTAAAATGTCTGCTATCACCACTTCTATTTAACATTGTAGCAGTG